AAGATTTCAGTATACACTGCTTTCCCAATTGCTTCCTAATTGTGCCATGTTCAGACGGGACCCGTTATTTGAACCACCATTTTCTTTGACTGTGGTCAGATGCTTTAGGCGACTAAAGGAACATTTGGTCTACTTAACAAGTAAAAGTAGTGAATTAAACAATATGCTTACAGTTTTTGCTATTCTTAATAGTGAAATTATTTCAATTATGTAAAAGTAACAATGTTAAAGGTAAGAAAAGATCAATTCTTATGCTATATACCACCACGTCACATATTGCTCAAGTATTCTGAGAACAAAATATAAAATTAACTTAGTTCTTTTCTCTACCTTGGGATGCTTTTATAGGAACTGGCACTTAGATAGTTCCCAGTGAAAAATAAAAGACCACCAAATAAATAAAGAATGAACAGGTAAATTACTTAGTCTATGCCAATAAATCTAACTGATTAAGCTCTTAAAATGGAAATGCAATGTGTTCATTTTTATATGTTGCACTGTTAAAAGTAAAGTAAAACAAAAATATAAACATGCACAATATTATGTTATATTGGCATTTAGAAAATGCCATCACTATAAATAAGGGAACAGAAATATAGGATGTATGGATCAAGTGAGGCAAAAGAAAATCAATCAAAATCAGTTTATAAAGATGAAGGTGTTGGGGCTGGGGATTTAGCTCAGTGGCACAGCGCCTGCCTGGCAAGTGCAAGGTCGTGAGTTCAATTCCCAGTATCAGGAAAAAAAAAAAAAAAAAAAAAAGATGAAGGTGTCTTAGAACTTACCTGGCTCTAACCTAGCCCCCATTCTTTGTCTGCTGTATACTCCTGTGACATATTAGCTCAAGACAAACACAGAGCGGAAATTCATAATATGTTTGTGGGTTGGTAGGACAAACATCATTTGAAAGTACCACCATAAACATATATTTACTCAACTTAAAATGCCATTTATCAATATCTACTTTTATCAGCCATGCAGTAATATGAGACAATTTATAAAGTATCATTTGTGAATTCCTCTAGAACAATGTACCTAAATATTGTCACATCAACTATAAATTTTAAAAGGCCCAAGAATTGTTAGCCTATGGCTCCATGGTAATTATTTGACTAGCCAACTTATGCAAGATATCTAATATATTGTTAGTGCACTTTTGTGGAGAAATGAGTGACATTATTGTCAAGTAAAATATTTTAAATCTCATTTTGCTGGAGAAGTGGTGATTAGCAAAAATAGTTGTGATGCCATATTTTGCTTTTCCAAAACAATTAAAATCAATATCCTCGTGGCATGCAGTGTGTAAAACATCATTTCTGTGTTAATGAATTCAAGGGAAGGCAACACTACTATTAGTAATAGCTTTTTATTCAGAGTCCTCATTTTCCAGATAGGTCACATTAAACACAGCCATTAAACAATAGTGTTGAGATAAATCCATTAAATGTATGCTGCTTTTATTATTGTTGTCCTTATTCACCAACCACGTGGTGCAGCTAAGAACCTTACGGAGTGATGGACTGATAAATGGGAATAGCTAACCTGTAAAACACGGGGGCCAGGAAAGTCAGACTTTAATCAGGTCTCATTCAATTACACTTCGAATCAGCATATCTTGATAGCCGAAACTCTCATTTGAATTAATGTTCTGATAAATGCTGTCTGTTGTCAAAAGAATATAATTAGACAATAATGAGTGGGCATATATTATGCAGACCTCCTTCTATTTGTTGACTTCAGCAAGTTCTATTCCGTTAGACAACAAACAGCCTTTAACCTGGTTCTAATAAAGCATCCTGCATGACTTTTTTACAGTGCCATGTTTTAAACTGAGCACTGTGTGGATCCTTTAAATGGAAGTCATGTTTTACAAGATCTCAACCAATGCTGGGAAACCAAAATAGTCAGTTTCTCAACCAGGAATTCAATTAGTTTATGGAAAAGTGTTTTTTCTTTTTATGCTGCCTACAATAACGATAAATATGTTAGGTTAAGAAATGGGGTGAGTCCATCCTTTGCAATTGCATGATATATCTCTGTCATGCTTACTTTGGTATAGGTAGAGCTAACACTGATTCTTACTAATTTTATCATTAATATCGGATGAAAAAAATTGTTTTCTTATGGATTTTTTATTTTTAGTTCATCATAAGCATTTTTTAGGACTTTGGGTTCCTTACTAAAAGTTCCATAAACAGATTTCTTTTCTGTGCTTGACTTCAGTTGTAAAAGAACCTAAAAGACAAAGGAGTATCAAATGTTTGTTTTGAATGTGCGATTTTTTGGAGGGGTTAGTATTTGAAAGACGTACATTAACTTTTTTTTCACATTCAAAATGAAGCTGAAACTCCTCCAAATCTTACAGATTATGCATCATTCATTAGAGCAATTGCTCCCAAAAGGTGTGATTTTGGCATCTCATGGGCTTCCTGGGAAGCCAAGCACCAGAGGTTTGCGATAGAGGCAGTTGCCAGGGAAATGAATAAAAGCAAAATTTCCTCCACTAGAAAAGTGTAGAGTCCTGACTGCTGAGTTACCACCAACTTGTAAATAAATGCTCACTACTAAATACAGATAATGTGTTAAGCAGCTAACACTAGTAAATCACTGGTGACAGGAAGCCTAAAGGTAATCCCCACACATTGGCACAACCAATTTATAAAATCTTATGGTGTTTTATGTCTTCAGACACATGAGAAATTGAAAAACGGGTTACTTAGTGTTAAGGATGTTTTAAAAATAAACCTTACTCTCTTTGCTGATTTCGTTTACATACTGCTTTAGATTTTAATAAGTGGTTATCTGTCTAGTAAGAGAGAGGCAACACTTGATAAGACTAAATGGAAATAAGTTTTCCACCAAATTTCAACTATCAAGCTAAATCAACCTGTAGTCTCCTGGCCAAAATAACATCATATAACAGAGACAACACATTTCAGATACATAAATTGTCCAAAATATAGAGAGTCAATTAGGTTTCACATGTACAAGATCCCTTCTTTTCTCGTTTAAACATCTACGAGTAATAAAAACCAAGAGGAGAGCTTTGGAAAGGCTGTTACTAGGAACCGGATACAGTTCTCAAGGGAATAAGGCTGATGGGAGTCATCCATTCTTCCCTCCCCAAGCAATTTTGCAAACAAGGTACAGTCTGAAATCTTGATGTCTTAAGATGGAAATATTTTCGGCAGATTTTTTTTGAGGTTTGAAATTATAAAACTTTAATTTAATTTACTGTTTGTTTTGTTTTGCTTTCGATATCAGGATTTTATGACATTTATGCTGTTTCTACACTGGCTTGGTGGCCAGAAAAAAAGGCACAGGGATTCTCCACCAATTTGCAAATAATGCATGTTTACGCTCCAGTGCACAAACAGCCTTTATTTAACTCAGCACCACATTGTCTAAGGTATGGGCTCAAAACTGTTTGCCATGAAGCTGTAACATGCCAAAAATTTTAAATGCTGAAGGAAAATGTCAATCAAGGCATTTTCCCATCTGCTACCATTTCTGCAAGTGCTAATTTTATTTTACCCAATTCCTGAAATTAGAGGTTTGTTAGCCTCATATGGAAGTCAGTTGGAAACGTGCTAAATGTCACAAGAAAAGGTACAACCAAAGGATGGAAGAGAAGGTGTATTGTTCTCAAAGGACACCAATAAAAAGAGGCAGAGGAGCACTGAGATAAGGAAAAAGGATTTCGTTAAGACTCAGACCTCTTGAAAAACACTACACAATGCAAGTATCCAGCGCTGGTACCACACATGCATTAATGCATTTTTCATGGTTTGTTTTTTTTTTTAAATATAATGGAAACGCACTTCTGAACCACTTAAGATACTTTTGAGAATGAACCAATAACATGATATCTACATAGGCAGAAGCCTTATGATATGGAAAACAACATGAAGAAGTTCCAGGTTTCGGTACAAATGTAGTTCTTGTGATTTAGCATGACTTTAGTAAAAGCTTCTACAAGGACTTGCACAGAACCATGACTGACGGATGTTTTTCTGACCTTTCAGTTAGCTCCATCAGCTCACTCAAACACATTTTGAACAGGTTATGTACTGTAGTACTTGGTAGACTACACATTAAACAAGAGACTTTGCTCTGAGGCACTGCTTCCCACATTCCACGGGGAAAAGGAAGCAGGAAAAAACAAAACTCATAGAGTTCGACAGCTACCGAGGCAACACTTGCCATTTACAATATAAGCCCAAATATTTTTGCAACACAACTATATATTAATTTAATAAAATACACAATATAGCTCTTATACACTCAACAATTTGGCTCATATGCACGGAATCTGCAATAAATCAATAAAAATATGTCATTTGATGTAAACACATTGAATCTTCTTACATTTGCACATTTAAATGGTCGTGTGATTTGTGTATGTCTAAGACATTTTCACTTTCCTGAGCTATTTTAGTGTCCACAAATGAATAAGACATATTAATCATGTTAATTTTCTCTGAATGTTACCCTCAGTGGTAACTACTGTTCAGAACTTTTCAATGTCAAATTGAAAACAAATTCATTATTTATATCTTTGTCGGACACTAAAATGCTAAATAGGCATTTTAAATCTTAAAATTTTCTTCTCCTTTAATGAAGTGAATTAGTCTACGTGTGTGCAGGACAAAATGGACTATTTCTTTTTACATTTAACTTTTATAGGACATGAGGCGTCTTACAAATGATCAAGTTTTTTTTTTTTCCTTTTTTTGTTTTTAACTAATGATATGGAATGTTCTTTGTGTTTATATGTGCGGCAGATAACTTTATACAGAAATGTTTACCACAAATATGTGTTAATGTTTGGTGTAGCTTGGACTACTGCAAGGTCTTCTCGGGACTTTCAGTAGAAGCCTGTGATGACTGTGAGAACTCCACCACAGATCGCGGATGATGACCCTGCTTTGTACGGGGTTTATAGGTAAACAGTTAGGTCAGCATAAATCACGGAGCGCAGTCTCAGAGTGATCAGAAACACTTGACTTCGCACACTGCATACCTTCCCAACAGATTGTCAAAAGGTAAGTGGCATACTCCTCCTCTTTTTTCTTCTCTCCTTTTTCTTCTCTTTTCTTTTCGCTTTAAACATCATTAATTTTGTCCTAATATAAGTTTGGTCAAAACAAAACCACTCTTATCTCTGAAAAAAGAAACAGCAGTGAAAAGAACATACGTGTGGGCACTTCAGATGTTCACTAAAAGCCTTAAAGCAGCATTGGCCTTTCCTGCTCCCTGTGAAATGTGTTGTCCCCAAGAGTGATCATTCTTCAATCCACAGAAGAGACAAGAAAATGCCGATGCCCCCAACCCCATCCCCGTCTGTCTCTCTCACTTTCTCACAGCCACGGGGTCATTCCCACGGCAGTCCTGCAAAAGCTTATCGATTTCTCTCACAACTTCCTCAGCATCCACGGACTCTCTGCCCGGATCCCGACTGCTGTGGTCGAGCTGCTCCAAGACGGCCCCCATCTCGCTGGAATCCCGGCTGGCTCTGGAATGCACATCCGCGAAGACCCTTGCCATCTGATCCGAGGGCATGAAGGGAGGGTCTCTCTGTTGCTTACTGGGTGACAGGTACTGACTGTCAGTGGGCAAATACTGACCACTTGCCTCGGCCAGGGCTCCTGGTTTTGCTTCACAACCCTCCAGCGAGCTTTTTGCTGAGGTGCAAGGCTCGATGCAGGCCTTCGTGGGGCTGCTTGATGCTGAAGGGACCTCTTGCAGGAGAGGGCTCAGGGCACGTTTGGCTTTTAAATAAGGTTTCACATTGGCAATGAGAATAGTGTGCTCTCGCTTGTCTTTTCCAAATGTACAAAAAGTCTTTTTCCCAGTGGGATTCACAGTTTCATAAGTCTCAGTCTCAACATTAGCTTCAACTGTGGGTACAAAGAGATTTGTGCGGTAATCTGCGTTTTCAGCCTGATTGGCTGCAGGGAACTGTGGCATCCAACACCTGTCAGAATGACCAAGCACTCGGCATTCATCTGTGCAATTAACACACTCTTCTGGTTCTGCAAAACAAAAGAGAGAACAGCAAATCCAATCATTAGGGCTTCCTTTGAATTTCTACTGAAGCTGTGATCAGCTCTCAGTGGGCTTGCTTGACCTCTGGTCTCTTAATTAAAAAGGAAAAGAAAACAATAATTAAAACATTTCAGGATGGTTGCATAAACCTGCTGGCTGAGACAATGGTTTTATTTAAGTCTATTCTCTAGATATTAACGAATTCCCATAGCCTGGGAAGAAGTAAAAAGTGGCCATTGGAGAATCATTCTCCACAGAATACAACATCATCATAATCTAATCTCCTGGCAATATCAGTTGGTCTTTGTTCTGTAGATCCCATCCTGGAAACAAGGCACTTCAGAAAGGATTACTAGGATTAATTTTTCAGATCAAATAATGGCAAAACCTGGATTGCGAACTTCCAGACAAGTCCTAAGCCACTTTTTAAAAAGTTTGTTACTCTTATTTTACTTATAATTTTTAGTTTGGTGACAGTCATGAAATAAAAGTTTTCCTCTCAAAACCTACTTTTCCTACAGAGAGTGGCAAATGGAATTTTCTATCCGAATGTATTATGAATAAGTTTGTCATAAAAGGGCACATTCCTATTTTATTAGATAACGTATGGATCATGTAACCAATTTTCTTCACTTAAGCTTTCTGTTTGTGGTTTAAGTAGGCACCAGATCGGTTTATTCAATAGGTATACTTTAGAATAAGTGACAATTCATAATATCCTATTTTAAGCAATAATGTTTTCTGTGAGAAATTTTACTTTTCTCTTTTGTCAATAGACATATGGAAAAGTCTGTATTTAAAGCATTCCTTAATGCTCCCTTATAAAAGATGCCAGACAAGAAAATATGAAAGAAAATTCCTTCATTAGGACAGTAACTGCATACCTCCATTGACCCCAATATTTTTAACCATAACTTTGAAATATATTTTCCAGTTTTTCCTTCCCAGTACAACAGTTGTTTCCATTATTTTAATGATCCTTTTTAAGATCAGGGACTTTTACTTTCAAAAGAGGATATTTACAATTTACCTCCGTGTAATGGGAGGAGAATTCCCTACACACATAGGAACCCTGGAGATTGCCTTTTAATTGATGTTCAATGATCCCTCCATGTTTAGTACATGCTTAGTATCCTGTGTGAGATAAAAGGTCTGCATGAAAGATTTGTGAAATAAAACCCTAAATGTAATACCACTGCTAAATTTGTGCAGTTAGTTTCCAAATTCACATTTGCAAAATGCAAATTTATATTTAAAAACTACAGTTAATGTCTCATCAAAAATCAAAATCAAAAACGAAACAAAAACAACCTCACAAGATATTTTACCTCAAAAAATTTTTAGCAATAAAGTAATTTCCTATGAGACTAAACTTCTTTAACAGTCAAAATGATGTCTTGACAGGACAAAAATAACGTGGTATTTCATAGCAGGTACAATTCACCTTTGTGAAATGTTAAAAAGTAGGTAGCTTACCTCCATTTTAAATTTGTCATTGTTAAAAAGTATTTCCTGTGAAAGAATGAAATATTCACTCTTCTGTGTATTATATAATGCAGGCAAGAATGCTAAAATTAATTTCAAACTGAATTATGTACATAAACTCACACCATCTATGACTGAGATGGCTGATAGAGGAACAAAACCAGCAAGAAATATAATATCTAGGATACTTTTTATATTTTTAAGTTAAAGGTGAGCAAAGAGATCAGAAAAGTTCTGTACTACTATCTTTACCTACTGTGAGTAGAAATCATACATACTATAACTGATTATATTTGTAAGTGTTAAAAACCATAGTATGAATTTATGCAACCAATTTTATCCTTCAAAAATATTATAGAAAACTATGTTATTTCACTTAATGCTTCTGTACCTTTTAGAGCTATAATTTTTCCTTGAATTTATTTAAAACTAATACACTCTTTTTCGACTATGCCAATATAGGTTTTCATTCCAGTATTGACTGGACTTCTAGTTAAGCTCTTTGGATAGCCAGCATGGAATGAATTCAATATAAATTTAAGAAGAGAGAAAAGGAGACATACAGAAATGTAAGAAAGTATAAATCAACCTTGAATTTGAACCATCAATATGAAATTATTGTTTGCATTTCACTGCTGAAAATCTGCAGTTTTTTATTTGACTTCTTTATGCCATATCCAAGGAAGCAAATTTTGAGAACTGATTATGATGCATTATAAGCTGTCCACCTTGTGATTAGACTGTAATTTTTGACAACAGCAGTTCATAGTAGTGAAGAACATCGGATGAACCCTTTTGTATAAACAACAGTGACTATGAGCATACAGTGACCTGCCAAAGGTCAAGCTAGTGGAATCAGTTAGGAACAGAACAGAGGCATAGGTGATCTACAACAAAGGAGGAAGCAGACGCAAAAAGGAAAGAAGGGAAGAAGGAGAACATGAAGCAGGGGAAAGGCTGCTACAAATGCAGGCACTTAAGAAAAGAGGAGTTATACTGAATTTCTGCAGTGAGTACTTTTTATTATATATTTTAATATTTTTATTATATTGAATGTGTATAATAAAGAATAATAATGTGGTATCTTTTCTCAAGCCCTAAAGTGATAAAGGTAAATAATCAAATGGTTCTCCATACCTTAGAGTGAATGAAGGCTGGAATACAGATGTGAAATTATAGACCACAAAAATGAAGAAAAAAGAAGTAAATTTTCTACATAGCTGTTATTTGCATAGAGTGGTATGTGCATCAGAAAACAAGTCTAAAGACCCTGGATAGAAGAAATGAAAACAAACATACATGATCCCATATCCATCTGTTTCTTCTGCTCCAATCTGCGATTAGCAAAAAACCATTTACCTTTAGTTTCATCCTTTCCTCAGAACAACATGATTAACCCCTCAAAGAATGTACCCCAGCCAGGAAAGAAGGCATCATCCAAATAGCATGCCAATGAGAGAAGCAAAGCTCACCGGGTTTATATAGCCAAGGAAAACAGGTCCAGACCAGCAGATAGAGGTCTGAGTGGTTATTCCTACACAGAAAGTTTATAGCATCTAAGTTCTGAAATGCATGACTCCCTGAAATACCACGTGATGACCTAATAACATTTTCTCAGTTGAGAATCATTTTTTTTTTCACTCTGATCATACTGATTACTACACATGCTCTGAAGGGAAGCATCTAAATGGAAGAACCTTATTTGGTTAAGTTTTGTGTAATTTATATGACATTTTTGCAAAAGATATAAATTGACTCAAATAATGGTAGAATCATAATTTTTGTCCTCAAATGAGCTATAATCATTACACACACACACATTATCTATATGTATGTAGTGAAGCTGAGCTTTTTCTATCACAAGTCCAAAATTTTTAAAGAATCTAAAATTTATATCCAATGCAGTACTGAACATTAAGTACTAGTAGGTCTCATCACAGAAATATAAATAAATCACAGGGAATTTCTACATTCATAACACAAGACATGACATTAGTAAGATAATTATCCTTTTTAACAAAGTAATACATATTTGTTTAAATATGAGCAATATTATTATATATAAATTTAACCTGTAGGTCCTTTTAATTAAAACATCAATAAGTAGTATTTTAATCTTTCCCTTTACCCTATAATCCTGAGAATAAAAATCCATGATAAGATCAACAAGTTAACCACTTCTGACTTCAGAATTGAATACAATTAAAAGACCAAATTATCAGTCCTTAAATGATTGGATTTTAGCAGTCTTCCTCAGAGGTTACTACAAATTGATTTATTCATTATGATTTTAATTTTGTAATGTCACTATATCATTAGGAACACTTAGTCATTTTGATATGTGTGAAATGTCCCAACAATTACCATGAGTAAGATTAAAACCTGAAGTCAAAATATTATTTAAATCAACAAGGATTAACAAAGATTAAGCAAGGCTCTGCACACAAACGTATTTTGGAAAATTAAGGGAAAAATCTGTGTGCTACAGCTCTGTGTCAACCATTGTAAAGGAAACATGTCGAGGAAACAGCCAAAAATGTCCTACTTCAGAGTGAATCTAACTGTTTATTCTTTTCTGTCTTGCTTGCGGCAGGAATTTATCAGAAATCAGAAATTTAAACTTATTTTTCCTGTCTTCAAAGCACTATACAATACCCTGAAGCAGCAATACTTGATAACTAATTTGTTACCACTTAGGGAAATGTTAGAAAACATAAAAGGATTTCCACCCTTAATTTCAAATTTACCTGCTGCCTCTGGAGCTCACATATTTGTACATCTGCAAACACTCATACAGCTTCCAGAAAAAGAATTGTGTATATGCATCTGGTATGTGTCTGATGTATTTTTCCAAACTGAAGAAATAAATGTGTCAGAGAGGTTTGAAAATAAAAATCCATAACTTAATGTATCAATAAAGAAGTTCTGAAGTGCTCTGGTCATGGGAGACAGACGTGTAAAAGTTTTCTGTGTTTTATGACTGTCAATGAAATGGTTTTATTTCTGTTTTGTGAACAACTTTAAACAAGAATAGTGCTCTTCTATTACTGTGGTGGGTGGTAAGCAATGTTTGTAACAGTATTTTAAAATTAGCATTGTTTCTAAGTAGACAGCTCTATAAATGGAAGCCCATGTTTTATTTGTTCTCATTTTTCCTTTTCATTTCTAATTTACCTTCTTTCAGCAACATAAGCTTTCATAACACCTAATTAGCTGCCTGGAAAAGCAGAATAGGCACCCATCTCTATTTACGGCTGACACACTGCTTTGTAGATTAGTTCTACAGAATCGAAGCCAAGTGCCCATCACGTATTCTCTATCTCTTTGCAAACCGTGACAAGCCAAGGCCTTTGACTGGCAGTTCACGCCTAGTTGTTTTCTGCTGAAAGATTTTAATGATGCAGCAACAGTCTGCTCTTACTGTTTCTTTAGCACATGTAAATACAAACACACACAATTACACATATAGACATACACATGCTCCACCATGAGTACGACAAAT